CTGGGTCCTGAAGATCTTTTTTGTACAATTCTTCTGTGCATTCTTGCCACCTCTACTTAATATATTCTGCTTCTGTTAGGTCCATACCATTTCTGTCCTTTAGCGAACCCATCTTTGCATGAAATGTTCCCTTGGTATCTCTCATTTTCTTGAAGAGATCTCTAGTCTTTCCCATTGTGTTGTTTTCCTCTATTTCTTTGCACTGATCTCTGAGGAAGGCTTTCTTATCTCTCCTTGCTGTTCTTTGGAACTCTGCATTCAAATGGGAATATCTTTCCTTTTCTCTTTTGCTTTTCACTTCTCTTCTTTCACAGCTGTTTGTAAGATAATGGTGACCTCCTTCAAAACATCCCATGCATGCACTGCTACACTCACTGCCCCTAACCCTGCAGCAGGCCACCACCGTCCTACACCTCCACTGGAGACTCCTGGACACTGCCCGGCAAGTCTGGGTCAGTCTCTTGTGGGGTCACTGCACCTTTCTCTTGAGTCCTGGTGCACAAGTTTCTGTGCCCTCCAAGTGTCTATTTCCCAGTCCTGTGTAAGTTCTGGCAGCTCTGTGGTGGGGTTAATGGCAGTCTCCTCCAAGAGGACTTATGCCATACCCAAGTCTGCTGCTCCCTAAGCCCCTGTCCATGTGGCAGTCCACTGCTGACCCGTCCCTCCACAGGAGACATTCAAACACAGTTCTGTCTCAGTCTCTGTGGGATTCCCGGGTCCCTGGGTCCTGGTGCACACAAGGTTTGTTTGAGCCCTCTTAGTATCTCTGGTGGGAATGGGGTTTGATTCTAAATGCGAATTTGCCCCTCCTACGATCTTGCTGGGTCTTCTCCTTTGCCCTTGAATGTGGGGTATCTCCTCACGGCTGCCCCAGCAAAGCGCAGCCACCACTCCTGACCTTAGATGTGAGGTATCTCCTCTCGGCCTCTCGCCACTCCAGCACTGTGCTGCATTTCTATAGCACATCGTGTGTGTTTCTATAAAGGACAGAAATGGTATGGACCTAACAGAAGCAGAAGATATTAAGAAAGGGTGGCAAAAATATAGAGAAGAACTGTACAAAAAAGATCTTCACGACCCAGATAATCACAATGGTGTGATCACTCATCTAGAGCCAGACATCCTGGAATGTGTAGTCAAGTGGGCCTTAGGAAGCATCACTACGACCAAAGCTAGTGTGGGTGATGGAATTCCAGTTAAGCTATTTGAAATCTTCAAAGATGATGCTATGAAAGTGCTGCACTCAACATGCCAGCAAATTTGGAAAATTCTGCAGTGGTGACTGGACTGGAAAAGGTCAGTTTTCATTCCAATCCCAAAGAAAGGCAATGCCAAAGATGCTCAAACTACCGCCCAGTTCCCTCATCTCACACGCTACCATAGTAATGCTCAAAATTTGAAGCCAGGCTTCGACAATATGTGAACTGTGAACTTCCCGATGTTCAAGCTGGTTTTAGAAAAGGCAGAGGAACCAGAGATCAAATTGCCAACATCTGCTGGATCATTGAAAAAGCAAAAGAGTTCCAGAAAAACATCTATTTCTGGTTTATTGACTATGCCAAACCTTTGACATTGTCGATCACAGTAAACTCTGGAAAATTCTTAAAGAGATGGGAATACCAGATCACCTGACCTGCCTCTTGAGAAAACCTATATGCAGGTCAGGAAGCAACAGTTAGAACTGGACATGGAACAACAGACTGGTTCCAAATAGGAAAAGGACTAAGTCAAGGCTGTATATTGTCACCCTGCTTATTTAACTTCTATGCAGAGTACATCATGAGAAATGCTGGGCTGGATGAATCACAAGCTAGAATCAAGATTGTCAGGAGAAATATCAATAACCTCAGATATGCAGATGACACCACCCTTATGGCAGAATGTGGAGAAGAACTAAAGATCCTCTTGATGAGTAAGACAAGAATAAAAAAGTTGGCTTAAAGCTCAACATTCAGAAAACAAAGATCGTGGCATCCAGTTCCTTCAGTTCATGGCAAATAAGTGGGGAAAAGTGGCAGACTTTATTTTTTTGGGCTCCAAAATCACTGCAGCCATGAAATTAAAAGACGTTTGCTCCTTGGAAGGAAAGTTATCACCCACCTAGACAGCATATTAAAAAGCAGACACATTACTTTGCCAACAAATGTCCTTCTAGTCAAGGCTATGGTTTTTCCAGTGGTCATGTATGGATGTGAGAGTTGGACTGTGAAGAAAGCTGAGCACCGAAAAATTGATGCTTTTGAACTATGGTGTTGGAGAAGACTCTTGAGAGCCCCTTGGACTGCAAGGAGATCCAACCAGTCCATCGTAAAGGAGATCAGCCCTGGGTGTTCATTGGAAGGACTGATGTTGAAGCTGAAACTCCAGTCTTTTGGCCACCTGATGCGAAGCACTAACTCGTTGGGAAAGATTGGGGGCAGGAGGAGAAGGGGATGACAGAGGATGAGATGGTTGGATGGCATCACCAGCTCAGTGGACATGAATTTGGGTAACCTCCGGGAGTTGGTGATGGACAAGGATGCCTGGCATGCTACAGTCCATGGGGTTGCAAAGAGTTGGACATGACTGAGTGACTGAACTGATTCAAAATGTGTAGTTATCCCTAAGTATCCATAGGATACCACTACACTAGTTTGGTATACAGTAGTGGTATCCCATGGATACCACTATACTAGTTTGGGATACCAAAACAATAGTTTGAGAACCTGCCATAGGTAACAGAAACCCGTGGATGCTTCCACCTTTGTTGTTCCTTTTCAAGACTGGTTTAGCTTTTGTAGTCTTTTATGATTTAAAATTGTTAGGATTATTTATTCTTTCTGTGAATAAAGTCTCTTGCATAAAACGGCATGGTGTAGTTTGTCCTCCATTTGCTGGTTACAAATCCACAGGGCCAACTGTATAAAGAACTACAACTCAGAAAAAACACACAATTTGACTTTTAAAATGGGCAGAGGATCTGAATAGACATTTTTCTAAAGACATACCAGTGGCCAGCATGTCCATGAAAAGGTGCTCAACATCACTGATCATCAGGGAAATCAAATCAGAACCACAGTTTGCTCTTACCACACACCTGTTAGAATGGCTATTACCTTAAAGAAAAGAAATGCCAAACGTTGGTAACGATGGGGAGAAAGAGGAACCCTTGTAACGTGTTGCTGAGATTGTAAATTGGTGCTGCCACCATGGAAAACAACATGAATTTCCCAAAAAACTAGAAGTAGATCTGCCATATAATTCAGCAGTCCCACTTCTAGGTATGTGAAAAAAATGACAACACTTTTTGGAAATGATATATGTACCCTTCTGTTCACTGCAGTATTACTTATGGTAGCCAAGTTATGAAAACAACCAATGAAGTTCAGGGGAAGGGAAGCACTATGGTAATGCAGTGGCACTTTAAATATAAATTTCCTCCAGATATGGAGTGAGCCTCAGATGTGGACAGAGAGTTTAAGAATAGCTTTCCCAAGCAGCCTGGGTAACAAAGGACCTTGAAGGCCAGGCACATAATTTTGTTATTACTGCAGGTTTTTTTCAAGTGAACATTTTATTGAAGTTTAACGTAAGTATACAAACAGTACATAAATAAGCTATACACACTTAGCACAAATATGAAACTTACTGAATGTTAAAAAGTGAAAATACTGACACATGTGACACTCAGGTCAAGAAATAGAACATTTCCAGGTCCCCAGAAACCCTGTCATCCCCCTTTCCAGTCTTAAGTGATCGAATTCTACCCACACACACACACAGTGATCATTATCATGACTTCCATCTTCATTGATTAATTTTGAGTCTTTTCAAGCTTCTTTGTTTTCTCAATGTCAGTTGTTCATAGTATACTGTTTTGTGTCTGCCTTTATTTGTTCAATGGTATGTTTTTGAAACTCATCTGTAGTATTGTGTGTAGCAGTATTTTTATTCTCATTTCTCTGTGGCAGCTCATTGTATGAGTATGTTGGAATTTATCAGCCAGTCTATAACGGCTGGTTTTTGGGTTGCTTCCTAAAGTAGAAGTTCTGCTATTAAGTCTTTATATGTCTTCTGGCGAATATATTCACCAGACTTTATATATACATATAAAGGTGCATTCTGTCAGAGACACACCTAAAACCTGAACTTTTGGGTCACAGAGTACATGTGTGATTATTTTTAGATGCCAAGTATCAAAATATTGTACTCAGGAGTCTTCAGTCATCTGATGAAAGCAGCAGTCATTCTGTCATTCACTTTTTTGTAACTTCATAGCCATATACCACATTGTAGACCATTGTACAGTTTTTGAATAAAAAACAGAGATAAATGCTAGTTTATGTGTTGAATATATATAGGAAGTTGAATAAAAATGGCTTCCTTTGTGGCTCAGACAGTAAAGAATCCACCTGCAATGTGGGAGACCTGGGTTCAATCCCTGGGATGGGAAAATCTCCTGGAAAAGGAAATGGCAACCCACTCCAGTATTTTTGCCTGGAGAATTCTATGGACAGAGAGGAGCCTGGCAGGCTACAGTCCTTGGAGTCGCAAGGAGTCGGACAAGACTGAGTGACTAACACAACACTTTGAATAAAAATATACCAGTCAGTACTCAGCCAGCATTTCTTGATCAGCCACTATAGGCTAGAAGTGTTATAGCAAGCCACATCAGTTATTTATATAAGTTGTTTCCATGTTAGGATGTAGAGTGTAAGGGGTAAGAGCAAAAAGAGGCCCTGACACTTGGAGACTGAGGCAGGAACAAAGATCATGGGGAACATGGAATACCATGCTTTTGGTTTTTGTTTTTTTTTAAGTGCAACTTCCAGTTGTTAAAGGGTGATTAACATTGGGTATTTTTCGCTTAAAGTTTATCTTGTTCTCAAAGGCAAAGACAATTATGATGGAATCTACATATTTTATACATATGAAACCTATTTCTGTATTTTAAGGTCCATGTTGCTTAGCGGTATACTCCTTTTAACTTCACCTTATTTTCTTTCCATTTCCCTTCTCAGGCTCAAACACATATGAAGAGGCAGCTGCATATATCCAGTGTCAGTTTGAAGACCTCAATAAGAGAAAGGACACAAAGGAAATATACACCCACTTCACATGTGCCACGGATACCAAGAATGTGCAGTTTGTCTTTGATGCCGTAACAGATGTCATCATAAAAAATAATCTAAAAGATTGTGGTCTCTTCTGAGTTTTGGCAGTAAATGGTAAAATGCATTCTCAAACCAAATGAGTACTTACATGTGGATCTCTCTAGACTAGAGTCTTGCAGCAACACAGAATGTAGTATATAGCAAGTGCATCTGGGACCTGACCAAAGCTGTTCTATTTTGTTTTTTTAACTAAAAGTAATGGAAGGACCTTTCTTAAACGTGAGAGGTGGTCCTGCATTGTGAAACTAAGGGCAGTGTTAAAGCTGGGCTCTAGTGTACTGATGACTTCTACATATGTGTAAATATGCAAATGTATGTATACATGTATTTATGACTTTAGTTTTCCACGTTACTTTTAGGTATTTAGTAAGCGGCAACTTATAATTTTAGTGTGATGGCTTTGGAAATAACAGAAATATTAAGTACTTTGTACTGAATGACAGACTATAGTCATGTTTGCCAGTTCTAAACAGCTTTATTTATGTTCCTGTCCTGTAAATTTTTAAGTACGATGATTAATATTAGGACACATTGCAGCTCTTGTCTTGATTATATGTATACTTGTAATCATAAATGTTATTTGTACAAACATTGCACAGACTATTTTAATAACATGATTTGTTCTTTAAATTTATTTGTTTTATTGAACTGTTCTTGAAGAAGATGACTATACCTGCCTTTGGATCAGTTAAACATTGTATGCGTTTCAGTTTTTCTTTTAAGGGTGCATGCTAATCTGATTCTACATTAGATTTGGTTTAAAAACTGTAAAATTGCAGGTTTCTGAGGATATACATTTAGACTTATAAACACTTAATTTTTATTCAGTTGGTTTGTTTTCACTTTGAATTTTAATATTTGGATGGTATTCATGCATTGCCTTAAAGGTGATGCCAAATTAATTTTTATACACTTCAAATAACTACATTTTTATTTATAACTAAGTTTAGGTGGGTGAGAGAGCATTTTGTTGGTAAAAAATAAGTCAGCATAATGAATTTTGAGACATTCATTTGTGTATTTCCTTTGGGAAATCCCTTGTACGTACCATACATGACAGCTCCTTGTTCGGAAGGTAACAGGAAAGACCTCGGAAGATTCTGCTGCTGATAAAATGCAAGCTTTAAAATCACATATGTAAGTAACTAGTTTCAAATTTAATTATCACACTATATTACAATTACTTTTTTCCCTGAGATTATTCAAGTTTCCTCCACTTGCTTGAGTTTGTATTATTTCTTTAAACTGTGCTGTTATCTCTGAGAATGAAATGGGCAATTACACTTAGAAAAATGAGTAATCGTATTTAATTAAGTCAGCAATTGTATGTATTCTCAAGTAAGTATTACATTTTCTCTAGATATTAAACTTTTGATAGTCCCTTTTGTTTTAATTATTCACAGTATCTATGACCTTGTTTTCAGCGAAGTGAACAGCATTCCATACCCTACTTCTCTTTTTTTACTCATCTTGAAAAAGTTATTTAGTGTTTCAGTAAGCTTTGTGGGTAAGTAGTTTCTAAATTTAGTTGTGTGTTATCATTTTGTTGAGGTCTGTTTGTTGCAGTGTGTGTGTTTGTGTGTGTGTATGTAATCAGAAACTACATTTACATCTGTTTCATTTGGGGGATTTTTCTTTTTTGTAATGTAAAGAAATTCAAAGTTATCAAAATTCTTTAAATAAATGTGTTAGTTTAGATTCTTTATGTGCCTTTCATGAAAGATATGTTTTCATTAATTTTATGGATGGAAGACGTGTTGTATTCATCTTATGAAGCTATGTATGAAATTCAACTGTCCTGTGAATCGATTTGAATCATGAGAAATAACAGTTTAAAAAGCCACAAAAGAAGCACATATTGGTGACCACCATTAATGAATTCCTGACTTTATTCTGTGTAATTGTGTTACTAATAAAATCTAATAAATTCGAATTTTTAAAATTTTACAAACCTGTTGGCTAAATACATGTTTTTGTATTAGCATTTATCAGTCTGTAGTTCATTTCTTCTTTGCCTTTGTGTTTGCAATTTCATCTATTCCTGAAACTTGAGTTTTCCCTGCCCTAAATTTTCTCATGAGATGTGGTGCCACATTTGGAATTTTCTGCTCCAACTCAGTACACCCAAACCAAATTCATCATCATTTTCCCTGTCAACCAGTTCTCACCCTCTTTCTTGGCCACTGAACCACCATTCACATAATCCTCAGTGGGGAATTTGTCAGCCATTGGGAACTCTTCTTAGCCCTCATCTCCATTTCTGAGAAGCCACTATTTGAGTACAAGTCTCCTTCCCAGTGCCTTGCATGTGGTTTTTGTTTTATTTCTCTTTCCCATTCCCACTGCCGTCTACTGAATTCAGGTCTTTGTTTAACTTCCAATTAAAATGGCTTATTAATTAAATTCCCCACTTCCAGTTTCTCTTTTCTTCATGCAGGTTACTTATCCTAATCTAGAACTGTGCCTGTGTTACTTTCTGTGCATTAGCTCCGACTTGTCAGTAAAATGAAATCTACTTAGCATTCCATTCATGCTCTTCATCATATGAGCCCACTTCACCACGTCCCCTCCCCCTGCCACCTTCCACACATTCTGGCAGCGCTTGTGCATAGCCCAGGCTTTCCTTCAAGCACTGTACTACATCCTACCTGCAAATGCTTACAACACTGCCTGGGACACAGGACATGTTCCTTTCTGTCTGTTAATGTTATTTTTATTTATTAGCACTTTTTTTGGTGGTCTCTTTTTTAGACCAACTGGCATCTTGTCTTCCATCTGCCCTACTTGAAACTGCATGGTTCTCATAGGGCTGCCAATCGCAGTTCTCACCTCCCTGACCAGAGGCTCAGGTCTGATCAGCCTTCATCCCCGTCACTGGGAAGCAGCTCAACTGAGCCAGTCATAGTGCTAGTTCTCATTTCTCAATTTCCTAAAGCTCTTCTTTCTTCTAAAGTCCCTTTCCTTTCATTTATTTCAGTATCCTTTTAAAAAACAACACTCTGTGTCATTCATTCAGGTTCAGACTTTTACCCCCCCAAAAAATGCTTAGTAAAATATATATGTTCTTACTAAATGGCAGCAGTAACTATGCCATAGATCAAAAGTCTCAGAGAGGTTAATTAACAACCAAGACCAACATTTCAAACCTGTGACTTCTGACTTCTGTTTAATGCTACCTTATATCCAGAAAATGTCTAAGTATTCTTTTAACCACCCTCATTGTCACCTTCTGAGTTTATCTGAGTCATATTTTTAGACTAAAAGTACATAAGATAGAAATTATGGAGCATGAGGTATCCCGCTTTGTTCTAACTATACTAGAAAGCTATAGTAGAGCAGTGTTCTATTGGCATAAAAACATGCACATAGATCTGAGAAAAAGAATAGAGAGTCTAAAAATAAACCCAGACATATATGGTCAATTTATGAGAATAGAGCCAAGAATATACAACAGAGAAAGAACAACGTCTTCCATAAATGATGTTGGGAGAACTGGACAATATGCAAGAGAATGGAACTGGATCATTATCTTATATCACACACACAAAAAAAACCCAAAATGGATTAAGGGCCTGGGTGGATTAAGACCTGAAACCATGGAACTCCCAGAAGACAGAGGCAGTAATAAGCTCCTCGACACTGGTCTTGGTTATAATCTTTTAGATTTGACAGAAGGCGACAGAAAAAGTGGGACTACATCAAACTAAGAAGCTGCTTCTGCACAGGAAAGGAATCCATCAACAAACTGAAACAGCAACCTGTGGGATGGGAGAAAACACTGCAAATCATATCTTGTAATCCAATAGTTAACATCCAAATATACAACTCAAAAAAGAAAAAACCCTGATTTTAAAATGGCCTGAGAATATAAAGACTTTTTTTTTTTTTCCCAAAAAAAGACATGGATAGCCAATAGGTTCACAGTAAGTTGCCCAGCATCATTAAGTATCAGGGAATTACAAATCAAAATCACAGTGAGCTATCACTTCACTTCTGTTAGGATGACTATTATCAAAAGACAAGAAATAACAAATATTGTAAGGATGTATTGAACCAGGAACCCTTGTGCCCCGTTGGTTGGGATGTACATTGGGGCTGTCACTATGGCAAAAAGGATGAAGGTTCCCCAAGATATTAATAGTGGAATGACCATATGATTCAGAAATTCTACTTCAGGGTATTTATCCAAAAAGAGAGTGAAAACACTGACTCAAAAAGACATGCACCCCCATTTTCAAGGCAGCACTATTTACAGCAGCCAAGATAGGGAAACAGCCCAAGTGTCTATGCACAGATGAGTGGATAAAGAAAATGCAATACACACACACAGACACACACACAGGAATATCAGCCGTAAAACAAACAAGATCTTGCCAAAACAACATGGATGGACCCTGAGGAGGACCTTATGCTAGATGAAGTAAGTCTGAGACTGACAAATAAATGTAAAATCAAGAAAATTCAGCTCATAGATACAGAGAACAGATCGGTGGTTGCCAGAGGTTGTGTGTGGGTGTGGATGAAATGGGTGAAGAGAGTCAATAATAAAAAATTCCAGCTATGAAATAAGTCATGGGGATATAATGTACATTTCATGGAAAATAGATGGGGAAACAGTGGAAGCTGTGTCAGACTTTATTTTGGGGGACTCCAAAATCACTGCAGATGGTGACTGGAGCCATGAAATTAAAAGATGCTTACTCCTTGGAAGGAAAGTTATGACCAACCTAGACAGCATATTAAAAAGCAGAGACATTACTTTGCCAACAAAGGTCCATCTGGTCAAGGCTATGGTTCTTCCAGTGGTCATGTATGGATGTGAGAGTTGAACTGTGAAGAAAGCTGAACGCCGAAAAATTGATGCTTTTGAACTGTGGTGTTGGAGAAGACTCTTGAGAATCCCTTGGACTGCAAGGAGATCCAACCAGTCCATCCTAAAGGAGATCAGTCCTGGGTGTTCATTGGAAGGACTGATGCTGAAGCTGAAACTCCAATACTTTGGCCACCTCATGTGAAGAGTTAACTCATTGGAAAAGTCCCTGATGTTGGGAGGGATGTGGGCAGGAGGAGAAGGGGATGACAGAGGATGACATGGCTGGATGGCATCACTGACTCGATGGACATGAGTTTGAGTGAACATCAGGAGCTGGTGATGGACAGGGAGGCCTGGCGTGCTGCGATTCACGGGGTCGCGAAGAGTTGGACACGACTGAGCGACTGAACTGAACTGAATGGTGAGTATAGTCAAAAACACAGTGTATTTACACTGTAAAGTAATTAGCCTCCAACTAATAAGAATAAATGAAAAAAAAAATAAACAGTGTAGCCTATTTGGGAGATACAAAGAGTAAGTTTTTAAAGTTCTCATTACAAGAAAAAAAAATTTAACCATGTGGTGATGGATGTTAACTAGACTTATTTTGACTTTTGCCATATATATAAACTCATTAGTGTACACACAAAATAATGTTATATGTGAAATATATCTAAAAAATGCATAATAGCTTAAAAATACATATACTTATATCTTGTATCAAAGCTATTTATGATAATACCCATTAGATGTGAAGGTTCTTAAGGACCCAAACAGTTATGGACATTTTTACATCATTTATTGTTAACAGAATCGCCCATGGTGCTTTGTGGAAAGGATTTAATAATGTAATCTGTAGATGTAATGTAGATGTTAGCATTGCCATTGCTCAGTGTGTTATTTTAGAGAAAAGTTGAAAGTGGTGGGGGTGGCCGAGGCACTGGTGTTATCTGAATGCAAATCCTGGCTCTATCTCTTATTAACTGGGTAAATTGGAGCAAGTTATTTAATTTCACTCAGTCTCCTTTTTATCTGGAAAAAAATAGGGATTAAATAAATAGGCCATTAATTTCACAATGCATGTTATATACTTAGAAGTGAGTCTGGCATGTGGTAAGCACCTGATAAGTTGTACTGCTACTTGACTATAAAGACTTTAATTTGGGGGTGCCTTTAAAACCCTGATGTGCTTAAACAATAGTTGCTGATACTATCTTTGAATAAAATGTCTCAAAACAAATATCATAGTTCATCTTTATAGGTGAAACTTCTGAGTCTCACACTGATGATGATATTGGAAAATGTCAGAAGAAAAAAAATGCATTTCCTCATTTTCAGGACACTTCTGTTATTTTTATTCTTTATTATTACATTATTTAATGTAACCAAAAATATGGACATTTATTTTAAAGTTTGGAAAATTTTCTTTTGTAATTGCTTCTGGAAACCTATATCTTAATAATTAAAATGTCTTTGTATCAAGAGTTTTACTACTCCATTGGCCTGTTTCCTGGGCATTTTCCCCTTAACCAATAACTGCTTTGCTTTGGTGTCTGTTGTGATGTGTTCTATTATTTACTTGGATTTTTCAGTTACTTTAAAAGTTATGAAACACATTTCATCAAGTCCAGAAACGCCCAAATATGCACAGGCAGGAACCTGTTGTAATCATGCAGGCCAGGGCTGAGGAGGCCTGACCTAGGACAGCCCTCTGCTGTGTGTGCTTAGTCGTCAGTGGTGTCTGACTCTTTGCAAACCCATGGACTGTAACCTGCCAGGCTCCTCGGTCCCTGGGATTCTCCAGGCAAGAATACTGGAGTGGGTTGCCATGCCCTCCTCCAGGGGATCTTCCCAAACCAGGGATCGAAACCAGATCTCCCACATTGCACGCAAATTCTTTACCACCTACGTCACTAGGGAAGCTCAAGAATACTGGAGTGGATAGCCTATCCCTTCCTACCACATTATAACTTTCGAGCACCATATACAAGGTCAAATATCTCTAACTCTGACTTACTGGCCATCTTCCTGGGGTTCCATACTGAGTGGAAACATTGCCGTTGCCAAAGAATAGTTGTTCAAAGTAAGAATGCATTGTAAACGATCAAAAACTAGACACTAGTATTAGCAAACCATGC